TAAATGGCAAGGAAAGTTAGGAAAATCTTATGAAAACGGAATCATCGCTTCCTTCCCAATTGTTAGGCCACAACTGATCGCTTAAGCTCTGTTTTGTGACATGTATCTGTTCAACGAAATTATTAATCAAAGGTGATGGTAGTGAGATGCCGTGTAGTATTTCGTATCTTTATAGAATTGATGCATTCTTTAATGACTCTGGGAATTAACTTGCACGATCTGCAAACCCACTTCTAATTGTACTTGCCAGCTTGGCACTAAGTCTGGCCTTGGAGATGCATTTCTGTTCTTACAATTATGGTTCAATATTAGGCAACTGATGTCTGCCCTGAAGAGGGTTGTGATGGCTAATTTTTTCTAAGTAACATGATGTCTACTTTTTGCTAGGACAGCAGCAGACTGTATCAGGAATATTAGAATTGCAATCCACTTCAGTTCACAATAAGTGAATACTTAAGAAGCCCCTGCTGTAGAGAAATTAGATTTTTCCAGACTGGCAATACCGTTGTCATAAATCTCCTGCCGGGTTCATTTTAGCAGCCGTTCTCTCTGAAAATCTCAAAATTGACATTACCCAGAAGCCAAGACAGACTTTATACCTTTCATGCTGGATGGAAACGTAAGGAAACGTCTAAGCATCTTGGGAGCAATTTTGAACCTGGCTCCATAATTAGCCCTCAGTACTGGGTGGGCTGGAAGAAGGAGGTGGGGGGGGGGCTGCCAGAGTCAATGCATGATACATCGACTGCCGTACCTTTAGTAAGGAGTTGGTTTTGTAGCTTTAGGCAATGTTTTATACAGGTTCCATGTATGTCAGTACTGAGGCTGCAAGGAAAAGGCAGCAACTGTGAAGCCCTGGGGGTAGGCATTTATTAGGCCCAGGGGAAATTAATTGTAATGCCTGCTGTATTTCTGAAGGCTCAGGAGAGAGAGGAGAGAATAAATTTCTGCCTGAGAAATTTTCCACCAAGGAGAATGTGGCTCATGAAATACTAAAATGTCGCCTCCCCTTCAATTGGTGAGTTGGGCTTTATGGTGAAGAACTATAAACTACCAAACCATATTCTGCAAGAGTGATCCCTATAGGTGATGTTATATTAAGTGCTGCCATTTAACTCTGAGCAGTTCAGAAAAATCACCAAACGAAATAAATTATGGTCCTGAGATAGCCCAGCCCTACAATCAGGAAGAGCTTTAAAAGAGACAACCAGTACTTTGTCACCCAGAGGCAACTGACACCAGACAGCTCCCAAAACAGTGGATTCATCCCGTCCAGGCAGCCATGTTTTGTACCAGATGCAGTTTCTGAATGCTTTCCAAGGGCAACACTGTGTAATGTGGATTATAATCACCCAAGCAGGAGGTGACTAAGGCATGAGTGACTATGAGCATGGTCTCGTGATCTATGAAAGGCCACAATTGATGCAAAGTACTGTACAGAAGTCCTTTCTGAGCCCAGTTGCCACCTTCTGATTAAGCAGAAGGTATGAGGCAGGAGGACCTCCAAATTGTGGACCATCTCTGATTGGAGGAACACAACTTGGTTAAAATTTAGTAATTCTGTGGAATTGTTTGGTTCACTAACCACTGAGCCAAAGCCATTCTGTCTTAAGAGAGATATGTTCTGAGTCTATTTCTCACCATCCAACCCCAACAGCTTCTAGGTGCAAGATTAGCATTTCTGTTGTATTACCTGTTTGACTCAGGCCCAAGATGTATATAACTAGATACTTGTAGAAGGCAGAGGGAATAACCTTGAGAAACTGGAGGAAGAACGGCTGTCCAAACAGTGGTCACATTAAAAAAAAAAAGGCTCAGTCTAGGACAAAATGTACACAGACACCTCGGCCAAGCCTCTTCCTACTTTGCATGATGATAGAGAGGGAGCGGGAGCTGCATTTAGACTTGCAAGATTCTGCTATTAAAACTTTACAGTGAAAACAGTATTGGCTATATTACATAGATTTCCTAATCTAATCTTCTTAGAAATGCTGACAGTATAATCAGCATCTATTGCTATCAGGCCTTTTTACAATATGTGACTTCCCCCAGCAGTTTTACGCAGATATTAAAAACGTGGAGAGAACAGAAAGGTCTGAGGTGTTCTACAAAGTAGTCATCCATAATCAGATCTCTCCTACTCTCCTATCCACTGATTGAAGCCATCCCTTTAGAAAGGAGAACCACGACAAAATAATGCCTCCTCTCCAATTCATTTAGGCAGCCCGAAAGGATACTGTGGTCAATGGAATGGAAAGCCACTAAGACATCAAGAAAGACCAAGAGACCTGAAACTTGACTGCCCAATGTCCAAATAATCCACTTTCCTTAGGGTCCTCTGGAATTGTAGGGCCATTATTTTCTCGACAATGTTCTCTGTAAAGGCAAGTTTGGAGACAAGTCCAGAGATGGGTGGCAATAGAAATCAATCAATCAAACAACTAAATAGTTGTGCCAAACAAAGGCTTCTTCAGTGGGGGCCTACTACAACCCCCTAAAGAGATCATGGGAGCAATCCTTCACTCAAAGAAGTACTACAGACTACTTCTGCTGACTGCTGGCTGCCAGCAATTTGACAGTTCAAATCTCATCAGGCTCAAGGTTGACTCAGCCTTCCATCCTTCCGAGGTTGGTAAAATGAGGATTGTTGGGGGCAATATGCTAACTATATAAACTGCTTAGAGTCTAAATGCTATTTCTATTTCTATTATTACTTGAATCCAGCCTCCTATCACCTCATAACAAATCATGGTATCCAACTGAAAGATGACAGAATATTGCAAGGTAACCAGTACACTTTATATAAATATTTTAAAATGTTAATTCNTTTTATATATTTTTTATTTTATATATTTTTTATTTTATATATTTTTTATTTTATTTTTTATTTTATTTTATTTTTTATATTTTATTTTATTTTGACAAATAGGAGTGAACAAATACACCTTCCTCCTATTTTCTCCACAACAACCCTGTGAGGTGGGTCAGGCTGAGAGAGAGAGGGGGGGGAGGGAGGGACGGAGGGACTGGCCCAAAGTCACCCAACCGGCTTTCATGCTTAAGGTGGGACTAGAACTCACTGTCTCCTGATGATTGGCCCAAAGTCACCCATCCCACTTTTCATGACTAAGGCAGAACTTGAACTCACCGTCCCTTGCTTTTTATCCTGGTGCCTTAACCACCAGACCAAACTGTGTTCTCCTTTTGTGAAACTTCCAAGCTAGCTATTCTTCGTTTGTTGGCCAAGCCACAACTAGGATCTGGGTTCTGATGGAATGGAAGTTTTTATGTTTTTTGTTTATTCTTGATTAATTCATCAAGTTGGTAGATAACAGAGATTCCACATTAAAAATTCATCAGCAATAAGCCAGAATTTTCCGCAAATTCTGAACAAAAATAGATTGTTGGTTCCAACTCAACACAGAATGCTTGGAACAGTCTTTTCCAACCTTGGCCCATTAATAAGGGTGAACTTCAGTTCCCAGAATTACCCCATCGGCCAAGCTGGGTGGGGAATTCTGGGAATTGAAGTCCACCCCTCTTCAAGGTGTCAAGTTTAAACACTGATTGCTTCATTCAGCAACATCAACAGGCTTCAGGCTATCACAAATCACAAGAACTCTATGTTTTTTTTGTTTTTTTTTAAACCCTTTCTAATTATTCGCTGAAAAAGTACTTGTCATTTATCTTCCATGCAAGGTAATAACTTCTGCATAGCCAACCTGTCTCTACTCTCCCAATTTAAATCCAACTTCTGTTCAGCCAGATGTGCTCGATGACGTGAGTTGCTGCCGATGAAAGATTATGTTTTTTCATCTAATGAGTTAGGTAGAAAAGTAATACCTTTCTGATGTTTACAGACTTAACAGTTCACTAAAAAAAAAAATTCAGATAAGAGGAAGATCTCTTTCTGTCACAAAAAGTGGGTGTGGAGAAAGTAACATCTTTGGGATACAAGCAAACTAGAACATAGAACACATACTANACTCAAATACTTTGGCCACCTAATGAGAAGGAAGGACTCACTGGAGAAGATCCTCATGCTGGGAAAGATTGAGGGCAAAAAAGAAGGGGATGACAGACAGGTGGCTAGATGGAGTCACGGAAGCAGTAAGCATGAATTTAAATGGACTCCAGAGGATGGTAGAGGACAGAAAGTCCATGGGGTCGTGATGGGTTGGACACGACTTCACAACTAACAACAACAAATAAAGACATCCAATTTTTATGGAGACTTTGAATTCATCCCCCCCCCCTAAAGTTTATTAATAAGTACCCTTTGGTTCATAGCACCCACTAATTTATACTATGGTTGATCTTGTTTGGCTTAAGAAATTGTATGGACCCAACCAATTATGGCTATTCAGGGTAGCATAATTAAATGGTAAATTAGCATGATGTATGATGATAAAAACATTTGCAAGAAATATCTGTGTCCGTGATGTTACCACGTTTTCTTGGAATCAATATTCCAAAAACTTTTTAATCCAGTTTTGTATAGAACTTACCTTCTTGGCTGTAAAAGCAAATATTCCCTTCTCAGTCATTGGTTTGTGTATATTGGCAGCCTTTGTACTAATAAAAAAACACTTGCTACATGAAATGTAACACTGAACTTTGGATGGTGCAATCCATCTACAATGTCCTCTGATATCATATTCCAGATGTTGCCAGATCAGAGCAGAAAGTGGATTGATATGGAAAATCTTCCAAAACTGTTTCTACCGAAATAGTTTTAATCTAAAAGTTCCGATTACCTGGTTTATTACTGAATTCCACAGTCTTCAGAAACTGTTCTTGGAAGCAGGAGTTGGTCTGCAGTGTATGGAAAAGATTAAATATGAACATTTTGCATCCATAGATTACAGCCATAGTGAGAAGGTTTCAGTTTATGCACAAATTGAAAAATACACTGACATTTTGTATAATGCAGAGAAACCAATTAATGAAGCTAGTTTATTATGCTGTTCTTTTTTTATTTATTTTAACAATTATTTCAGGTAGGCTTAATTCAGTATGGCAATTACCCACGAGTTGTTTTCAACCTGAATACCTACACTGACAAAAAAGCTGTTGAACAAGCAATGTCGGAAACCGTTCAAGAAGGAGGGTACGAAACTAATACATTTGGAGCCATTGAATATGCAAGGTAAACCTTAAAAGTAATGGCCAGCTGTGGTAAATGGGTATTCTTTTTAATACTAAAGAAATCTGAGGGCTGTTAATGCCAATAGATCAGGGGTGAAACACTACTGCTATGAACCAGTGGGCCCGAACTGGTAGTAAATACAGGTGAAACTCAAAAAATTAGAATATTGTGCAAAATAAGCACAGTGGTCCAAAGCCCTGTTGCTCAGTGGTCCAAAGTCCTCTTTTCTGATGAGAGCAACTTTTGACAAAAGCACCAAAAACTGGTTCAATGACCGTGGGATTACTGTGCTTGATTGGCTTCTCCATTCTTCCTCTATCCTTGGTTTCCAAATGAGATGCAAAAGTTGCTCTCATCAGAAAAGAGGACTTTGGACTACTGAATA